TCTGGAGGGCCAGGCGCCCAAACACTGGTCGAGGTGTCGCAGTGAACTATCGATTGGACACCGTTCACGTCTACACCCTAACTGATGGTGAACCCAAACTCAGAACCATTAAGGCCATTCTGACTCACAAGGGTGCTGTGGGACAGGGTCCAACCGTCCCTGTGAGTTGACAAAACTCTAAACCTTCACAGGAGTAGGAAAGCTTGTCTTGCTCCTAAGGAGTGGCTAGTGATTTTGAACTGCTGACCTGCCGTTATCAGGCCAACATGTAACCACTATGCCAGATCGACCCTTCTAATGGGAGCAGGCTTTCCTTGTCAGCTGGAAGGCCGGAAGAGCAGAACGGGACCTTTTCCCAAGAGGACATGTTGCCCCAAGACGGCAGCACCAACTCCTACCGTGCGCACAGCCTGTGGTCCGGCTTGCTCGTCCCCATCATTGAGAGCCTGCCCCAAACCCTGCTGGTTTCATCTCTCTGCCCCTCTCCCATCTTCCTCTCTGCTCTTCTCCTTCCTCCTCTACTCCCTGCTAAGGAGTGTGCACATCTGCCAGCTCCCAGCTGTGTCCTCCTGGCCCCTGCCCTGTGCTGACCAGTGCAGTGTGTTGCTGACATGGCAGAGAACCAAGTGCACCATCCATCTTGTGACCATCCAGAGCAGGGGTCCTCAAACTTTTTAAACAGGGGGCCAGTTCACTGGCCCTCAGACCCATTGGAGGGCCAGACTATAGTTAAAAAAAAACTATGAAAAAATTCCTATGCACACTGCACATATCTTATTTTGAATTAAAAAAGAAAACAGGGCAAAAACACCTGGCAGGCTGGATAAATGTCCCCGGCGGGCCACATGTGGCTCGCAGGCCATAGTTTGAGGATCCCTGGTCCAGAGTGACAGCTGGCAGAAACCTTGATCTCAAGCTTCTCTGACCTGAAAGGATCAAGTGAGGACTTGGCCAATAGACAGGCTCCTCTCCTTCAAGACCACCCCCCAAATCCACTGCCATCAACTCCTAGCCACTCTATAGGACACTCGGTAGGGTTTCTGAGGCTGGAAATCTTTAGTGGAGATCAGATGGCCTCATTTTTCTCCCATAGAGCAGCTGGTTGGTTTGAACCATCAACCTTGCAATTAGTAGGTTAATGCCTGGCCCACTAAGTCACCAGGCCTCCTTCTACCTCAAGGTAGAATTTGTAAGACAGCACCTGGTCAGTCCATTTTCCTTGGCATGGAGCCCTGTGAATCTAACAAACAAATCCATTCTCTCACAGTTTGGGACATTATGAGTTCTCATCCAAGGGAAGACATTCTCTCTATGCTGACTCTGGGGGAAGATCCCTTTCTCCATTCAGCATCTGTGGGTGCAGACTTCCCTGGAGAGCTCCTTGTGTCTTGGCATCACTCTTCCTCTGGGTCTAGAAGGGTCTCAGAACAGGGACCCTCAGTCCCAATGATGCACTCTGCGCTTGGCTTTCTCCTCCAACCCCACCTGGTGGTGGGAGGTCCCTCTGACCTCTGTTCTCTTGTTTAACCTCTTTTATATCTCAAACGAGATTGACTCAAGATAGAACTAATCCTGCAGATTGTATCCAGCTTAATAGCATCACAGAAGTGAGGATTTACAACACGGTGGATAATTACATCAGGTCACAAAACGTAAGATAATCACATCATACTGAGAATCACGACCTAGTCCAGTTGACACATATTTGTGTGTGTGTGTGTGTGTGTACGTTTGTGTGTGTTGGGGGGGGGGGGGGGGGGGGACACAATTCAATCCGTAACAGATGCAGGTGTGTTCAAGGGTTCAGACAGAAAGGGCCTTTGCCCATCCTTTCTCTTCAGAGCATGACTGTAGGGTGTCCAGTGGGCCCATTGCCTGGTGACCACTTGCCCATTCTTCATTCTTTTCTTCTTCTTTTTTTTGCCAGGGGGAGCGAGGTCTGGATGGATTCCCTGGAAAGCCAGGGGAGACAGGACAGCAGGTATGTGGGGTTGATGATTCGGGGCTGGGTCTTCTGGAGGAGCGGAGAGATGGGGTCCTGACAGGGGCTTCTGTAGAACTCAGAGGCTCATGGGGGCTCCAGCCAGCCATTCAGGCACTGCAGTGCCCGGACTACAGTGCTCGGACGAGGAGGGGTCTCAGAAGACCCACTGCTCTATATCCACTTGGCATTAAGTCACAAGACGTTGTATATGAATGAAGAAGCGTGGGTCCCGGGCCCCAGTCTTGTACGCAGCATACAAGGTCAGGCATTACAAGCTTACCTGTGAGAGGGAAAGGCTAGAAACAAACCAAATACCCGTCCGCATGGACACGCATCGATCGAGGTACGTCCACAGGGAAATGGCGTGAAGCTTTGAAGACATCACGATGCTCTCCTGTGCTGAGGTGGGCGGTCCAAGAGACACACTGTTCAGAGACAAAGTGCACTGAGCTGGGGAAACATCCTCTCTGTCTTCTGGAGGGCTGAGCTCCTTCACAGGGGCAATCAGGAAATGCGGTCTTGTGCCCAGAAACGCATTCTGGGTGACCAGGAGATGTGGGGTGGAAACTTGGGTGGCATTTACATTTTGAACCATGTTGCCATTAAAAAAAAACAACAACGAAATTTAAACATTTAAACAGCTTAAAAGTAAAGCATGAATAAAACATAAAGCTGGGTAGCTTCATGGAAGGCAATCAGGGTAATAACACGTTACATAATATAATTTAGTGTATGACTCTGTCAGCTAGTTCATTAACAGGCTTACATAAATAGCCATACAAATTGACTAAGACATACAACAATGAGTTGAAACACAAAGGACATTCAATACGAATCAATCACAGGTGAATATTCAATTTGATGTGCCGTATTAGCCTAAATGAAAGCCATACCATCCCCGTCTGACACAATGCCTCGATTCTTATCTATTGGCACTCACGAACAGAAGTGCACGAACATGGGAAGCGGGTGTTTCAGCACCTTGAACTCATCCCCTCAAGGACTGTCCACATCTCTGTACACCTTAGCAACCATTTCTTCCAGTATTTAGCTAAGATGAATGACTGCGCTGGCAGCTGAGTGGTCCACAGCATGGACGGGCCACCCTGGAGTCACCTGCTTTAAAACATTCATGGAGTGCCACCTTGCCAGCAGGCCTGGCTCTCGCTGTGGGTCATCCCTGCTGGGTGATGGCCAGGGAAGACCGAGCTTCCTCCGCATGCTGCTTACACTTTACACCAAGCGAGAGACCCTGGTGGACTCCATGGGGCTATGGTCAGTCCTTGGGCATTCCTCAGGCCTGGCCTGACCTCACCCCACGGCCCAACCGCAGGCCTCTCAGTGGAGCACTCACTGCAGGCGGGTGACCGCTCCTTAGAACAGCTGAACTTTCTATTTCTGGGTGAGCTAGAAAGTCAGATTTGCCCAGGGATACAGTTCAGAAGGCAGGAGGAGGGATGGAGACTGGACACTCGGGGTGGAAGTGGGAAGCGTACCGTTACCCTGTGGGGGTTGCAATGGCCGGAGCAGGTGACTGGAGATCTAATCGGCCTGGTAAACTTTAACCCAAATCACCACGGCGAGTTTTAAGAAAGGGAACGAGTAGCAAACCGCAGAGATCAGCCCCTAGAGAAAACACTGACAGTGTGAAGGCCACAGACCAAGGTCTGAGAAGCGTCAGGAGGGCGAGCCCCGTCCAGGCTGCTTCTCAGCTCAGAACTCCCTGCCCTGAGTCGGTCTGTTCTTTGCCATTTCTACTGAAAGGGAAGGGAGCGGGCTGTGTCTGTACTGCTGAGCGAATGTTCGGTTACCTCTTTAGGATGAGTTCTTACAAAACCACCACCACCGCCGCCAATCAATCACTTTACCTTGGGGGAGTGGCCCTAGCTTGCCCACTTCAAACAGATCCTTCCCCGTTTCCACACGGGGACTCAGGCTGGGTCTCCCAGTGTGGGGTGGCCCTGGGGCCTCCCTCCCTTCTAGTTCTGTGGGGGGTCCCAGTGCTTGGCTGTTGTCCTGGTCAACGTGGGTCGGGGTTTCTGTGGGCCGCTAGTGGAGAGGAGGAGGAAATACCCGTAGCAGCCCAGGCCCAGGTCTTGGGGAGCTCTGCTTTCCCTGCCACTCTGAGCTTTACCCTCTCCTCTAAGGATTTCCATCAGACTTTGCCTTAGACCTGCGCTGCTTTCCAGGCAGAGCTGGCTACCTGCTTCTCTTGTCCAGAGGCTCCGGGAGGTGCCCCTCGAGCCCTGAGAACAAGGTCCTGGGTGCTTTCTCATGCTTTCCCACCCAGACGCCATGGGACCCCATGGGGAGGGGATGGAGAAGTGAAGCTTGGTCCACATGAGGAAGAACTGGATGGCCCTAAGGAAATCCGACCGAGGAGACCTGAGTCTTCTGGGAAGTCCAGCCAGAGGTGCATCTGCCCCTTCCCGTGTTCTTCTCCCCTCCCCGGTGCCAATCACCCCCTCGCCTTCCTTTCCTCCAGGGCACACCTGGTCCTCCTGGTGCGGCAGGACCCCAGGGAGAGAAGGTAAGGCAAATCCGGGATGATCGGTGGCTCTGGGCTCAGGAAAGGCAGGTTGCGGACCATCCTCCCAGACAAACCAGGGCTCAGGAAGAGGGGCTCAGGCTGGAGTCCTGGGAGCAAGGCGCAGGCCAAGGGTACTGAGCTGAGCTTGACCCACTGCCTTCAGGGAGAGGGTGGGCTCAAGGGAAATCTAAGCAATCGCACCCAAAGGATAGTAGGTCATTCAGATGGCCCTGCCTAGATTCCACAGGGAAGAGACCAAGCAGGGATGGGCATGATCTCTGTCCAGGTAGGGGGCAGTGGGAGGGAACCAGAGCATAAGGATGCCCCAGGGGAGGTGGAGCCAGCCAGCACCTGGAGAGCCAGTAGGCCCTGTGGCTTCTTGCAGGGAACCAGGGGTCTAACCTGGCATCGGGAGGAATCAGTTCAGGGGTCTAGTAAGATGAAATCCACTAGGTGGATTTAAATGAATACATTCCCCCTTAGGGAAGAAATTGGGAAAATAACATGGCTGTGATCGAATG